TGTTGATTACATCTCGAGAGATCTGTTCAACCATGGCAGAAACAACCCAACGAGTTCTCAATTTCTCGCCTGGTCCAGCAAAGCTACCCGAAGAAGTAAGTCAGTGGATCGCGTACAATTTTTCAGTTTGGAGCATTTCGAGCATTTCTCTCCCGAACCTTGCATTTTTCCTTCGGTCACAATGCCTTCTTCCTTTATTCCTATGTTTTCTTTTACGATTTCAATTGATGTCTGGAAGTAAGCTTACGTATTAAGTCAGATAACATTTAATCGTGGCGACGATTTCCCTTGGATTATGTAAGACGAATAGGCGCACACAAGGTCCACAAGAATGTGTGAAGACAGTTTTAGATCTCAGTCGAAGATCAGTTGTGTTTGGATTCCTGTTGTTAATAGCAAAGTCTTTCTCGCTCAGATATAATTCATAGCCTGGTATACTGGAATAACGTTGTTTGAAAGTATCTCAGTTGCTGTGCACATCCGTGAAACTAACGAAATTGGCGCGTTTCCCTAATATGGGGAGAAAGATGAATGCATTCCCTAATATGGGAGATAGCAAAACATCGAAGGGAGATTCCTTGGACTCTGTAGTATAACATCATGTACTACAGCAATGGAGCGATTAATTTAAATGTTGTTATTTTGTCAATGAAATGCTCGGAGATGTTATGGAGCGAAGAGTGTTGCCGATTTCGTACTTCGATTTCAGTAACGGCGTGCGCGTCGAGGCGAAGCGAAGAAACGGCAGAAATTTAAGGTGTGCTTCGGGGTGGAGGTAGTTTAATAATGAGCAATTTCTCATCGGGTTACGAACAAAATCATTGTAAAAAGTTGTTCACAGATGATCGTTGTGATTTAAAGTTAATCCTTTTTTCGTTCTTACTCATAAGTTTTCTTGCATAAATTGGCTGATGCAATACTTCAAACCTGATACGAGTTTTGTGGGTTATGGCTACTGCCAGATGTCAAAACACTTATCCCCAGTCCATGGACTAGCCCCACGGGCTACCTATATGAACTGCCCTTAAATGGACTATGGCGCTCAAATTTAGTGATTAGGGTTAGGACACTGAGTGAATCAAGTTTCAGATCAGTTTTCCCAGTATATTGAACCTAAGTGGAACCTGATTCACTCAGTTTCTTAACCTGATAATCACTAAACTTCAGTGGCATAGTCCATTTTAGGGTAGTCCATAGACTGAGGGTCAGTGTTTTGTCCACCACCCGTTTTTGTGTCATCATGCAACTCTCCTCCTCACAAATGGCTGCTCACATTCTTGGAAAAGAATATCGTTCGAATGTGAGCAGCTGTTTGTGGGAAGGAGCGTTGTACGGCACTGAAAATGGCTGCGAGGGAGATTATGGCCCAAGAGGAGTGTCTTGTAAACTTGGACAAATAGAAAATAAATTTTTTGGTATGGTTGTCTCTTCTGTATCCGAAGAAACCATTATTAATCTCATAACACTTTTGTATTGATTTGTATTGGCTACGTTTAGGTGAGCAGCTTTTTTCAAGTCTCTTAGTACCTGTAATTAATTTGCTCAAAGTACAGACAATAGTAGTGTTTGGAATATGCTGAGATGTAAAAATCAGTCATCAAAAATAATCAGATTTACCCATCCGGCAACCAATCGATCTTGAGTTACTATGATTAACGTTCATTGTTTTGTTTGGTTTTTTAGGTGTTGCTCCAAGCTCAAAAGGAGCTGCTGAACTATGGAAACCTTGGAATTAGTGTTATGGGTAGGTTGTTAATTGTTTGAAAATATGTTTTGTACATTGCTTCACACAGGATAAGTTTTTTCTTCTTTAATTTATTTTAAACAAACTTACATTAAATTTGTTATTGCCTTTTCTAGAGATGAGCCACAGATCTGCTGACTTTGCAAAAATTGTCAATGATGCTGAAAGTGACCTTAGAGAGTTACTGTAAGTTGTCGACATGTAATGAGGTTACTTACGCACTAATACATGAAATAATTTATAATACTTGCATTCTTCAAATACAGGCCTTCTGATGGGGAACGATAAAAAATCAGAAATGATGCTGCATTTTCAAGGCAGAATGTTTAATTTAAGTTAGAATTTACAGTTTACTTTACTTGACTGTGCAATCCAATGCTATTTGAGGCCAAATGTGCGAAATCGCACCATCGCATAATATCAGAAGCCCTGCAAAGAGCAATTAAACTGAGTTTTGCAGCTCTCTTTTATAGGAACATTCCAGAAAACTACAAGGTTCTCTTTCTACAAGGTGGAGGCACAGGACAGTTTGCTGCAGTTCCTTTGAACTTAGGAAAAGGTTTGTAAATTTGACAAGATTTTTTAAGACTTGGAAGAGGGAGGTTAAGCAGGGGTTCTTTTTGGGTCCACTGACTAAGGCACGTCAATCTCTTATCATTGATTAAGCCAACAGGCTCAGGCAAACTGTGCCTGTTTAAAAAATTACCATTTATTTTCTTTATTACTATTGTGCCTATTTTTTTAATTTCATTCTATTTTATTTTTTAACCCTCGACTCTTTCAGGTATGCACATGCGTACCGTGTGTACAGGCTATGCGTCTGTTAGTTCTTAGTACATTAGTAAAATAATGATCCTTTGTAACTTTTAGAGGGGGGATCTGCTGATTACATTGTTACCGGAGCTTGGTCTGCAAAGGCTGCAAAGGAGGTGAAAATATCATTTGGTTAAATGTAATTTAACTAAGTTAACCACCACGAGCTTAGCGGTCAAGCGGTTCACAAGCGTAGCGGTCAAGCAATTCACAAGCATAGCGGTCAAGCGGTTCACAAGCTTAGCAGTTGAGCGGTCCACAAGTTAAGCGGTCTAGCGGTCCACAAGCTTAGCGGTCAAGCGGTCTACAAGCTTAGCGGTCAAGCGGCCCACGAGCGTAGCGGGCATCCAGCGGTCAATCCCATAAGTGCAGGCTCACATGGTGTGTGGTAGCTTTGTACATGGCTAGGATCTGCAAGTTGTTCATCGAGCGTTTGTGCAGTGGTCTGTGGAGCGGTTCATTTAGCGTCTTCCCCCCCTCCCATCCCTATTTTTCTTCCTTCCACTGTTTGATCAGTGTGACGGGTGCCTGGAATGGGGGCTCATGGCTGGGTTGCGGGGATTTGCCAGCCATGGGGGCAGCTTTTCTATCTAGGGGCTGGCTGGCCACAGTGGAAGCCCCTGGGTATCCCAGGCACCCACCTTCCACTGAAGCGAGGCAGTTGGTTAACTTTCCTTTATCGTCACACAGTATAGGACAAGGGACATTTTATACTAGTACACTGTAGTTTCTTTGGTATGAATGCAACATGCTAATGTGTATTTTATTAGTAATTTTACTAGCAATTATTTTAATTGCTCGCTAAGTGATCCTATGCTTGAAGTGAGATTTTGAGTAACTTATGCCTGGAAAATCATAGATATATTTTCTAAGTGGGACTCTGAGATTTCTGCCACCATATACTGGTGAATATTGTTATGTCTTTCTCTCTCTCTCTCTCTCTCTCTCTCTTTAAACTGGATACATTACTAAAAAATAAACAGAAACTGGACATGTACAATTGTAATAATCAAAAGGGGGAGGGTTTGATAGACGGGTTTGAGTAAACATCCTCTCACTCTAATCCAAACCCAAATTTTAAGACCTTCCATTGCACCTGCAAATCAAACCCAGTTCCACAAATTATCCTGTTAACACAAACAGGCCACTAGATATTCTAAGAGAAGGTTCTTGAAAAGTTCTTATGAAAGGATACTCAACTTTAGCAAGAAAGTTAAACTAGAAATACCAGAGGGGTGAACATCAGATTTCCCAAAAAAACATAGAATGCATTTAGGTACTTGTATTGTAATTATTGTGTATAATTTGTAATTATTGTATATAATTACATCACTTTAAAATTTCGTTTTAGGCAGAGAAGTATCTGAAAGTGAATCCAGTTTTCAAGAAGCTTGACAAATATGACAGTATGTATTTATTTATTCTTCCTAACAATGACTGTCATCTAAGTAGAGAATTTTGACAAGTTGTCTACCTACAACCAGGCAATATTTAAACAGTGAACCTTCAATGGTCCTCAAGGCTGCTGCCTAACGGGTGTCTGGTCGCCATTGGCGCCTACGATCAGCCCGAATGGGTGCCCAAGATTTATGATTCTTAGGCCATCTTCTGGTGAATGAACAACAAAATTCCCTGCTCATTCTGCACTTTTGAAACGAAAATGTAAAACGTTTGGTCGTCAGCCATAGGTAATTTCTGCCCATAAAAAGTAAACATTCCTATCTTGCTGTGAACAGAAGCGGTACACTCGGAGAGTTCTTTTATCACTTATTCAGCGTTATCTACACCTCTTTTTATTTATTGCCGTATGTTTGTGGTAATCAGGGGCACCCAATGACAGTTTCCTCCTAAATACATTGAAAACACTTTTTAGGCTATCCAAAGTAATTTAGAGCTCTAGAATTTAAGCATTCTAAGCGGCACTATACTATTTGTATTTGTTCGGTCATCCTAGGGAACTTAAGTCTTTTCGAAATTTTAAGGGCTTGAGTTGGCTTGAGTATTCATTTCCGGAAAATTTTAGATGAAATTTGAAGTATTACGAAAGTGAGACATTTTCTAATTCCTCTCTCAATCACATTTTTGAATCCAGAAATTTTAGGTTTCCTTTTTAATTAGAAAATTAGCCTACCTTTGGAAGTAAAATGCAAAAATTAAACTTCATAAAATCACAGGGAATTTATTAGATAAGCCTTCGAAAATTGCACATGAATATGGAACAGTCATCTTGAAATTTTTAGCGGTCCTCAAGTAATAGAAAATTCTAGGCAATATTTGCTTCTCCAAACAGATATTTTACAGAAAACAGTCACTGGGTGCCCCTGGTTGATAATTGAAAGGCTTGCAAACACATTGATTCACAGCGGCTATTCAAGATCATGTTTCCATCTCTTTTTAATTTACACCGTCAGGTGCAACGCACCTAAATACAGTAAATGCATACCTCCTACCTTCACAATATAAAAACAGTTGTGATAGTTCAAAAGATAGACTTGTTACAAAAATACTTGGTCAATTTCCAAACTTCAAGATCAAAAACCTTTTGTTGGTCCTTTTTTTATCGCCTAAAAAGTTTTTATTTTAGGAGCCCAAAGGACTCCCAAAAAATTTTCTTAGGCTGCAACCTTGCCTGGGGACTTGGTGTAGCAAGTAGTGGGACAAACAGGTTAAGTGTGATGTGAGATGTCAATTTGAAAGACCAAAAGCAGAATACAGAGTATACTTATGAGAATTAAAATTCATTTTTCAGCATTTTTCTTATTCACTTTGTGCAAATTGCAAATTAAATTTTCTTGTCCATTCAGTGCTATTTGTGTAGTTACTTTTTTGTACTTTCACTCTAAAGTCGATAGTTATGCCGATGGAGTGATGCATTTTTACTTCAAAATTTTTGGTTGGTGTATGATTCAAGGTTGATTTATTTTGGACTTATATTTTAAGACTTAATAGGTTGACTTACACTGGTAAAAACAGTATGCCATGATCTTGCTCCACGTGACCTGGTTTTCTTTGTTACAGGAATACCCCCACAAACAGAGTGGAATTTAGATCCAAATGCTTCATATGTCTACTACTGTGCCAATGAAACAGTTCATGGTATGTTCATTGATCATATTTCTTTTGATTGTCGCGAGATGTTATATTCATTTTGTGAAGGAAGCATTAAGATGGATTGCTCGGCGACATTTCCAGAGACTACACAAAGTACATATATGAATATTTCTCAAGAAAAGCCCCACGGACTAGCATTGTCTATCTTGGGGATCACGTTTGCCATGTGCACTGTAGTTTGTGGCATAAACAGTGTGCATTGTAATCTAATGAAATAAGAACACAACTGGGAGTGCATTTATTTCATTTGTTTTTCTACACCGTTATTTATTTTTGTTTTGCATCATGATACATTGTTCTCTACAGGAGTAGAGTTTGATTTTGTCCCAGAGACAAATGGAGTTCCACTTGTTTGTGACATGTCTTCAAACTTCTTGTCAAGGCCTGTCGATGTTAGCAAGGTAAAGTTTTTCAAAGTAACCTACTACAGTGCAATCCATGCATGTAGTAAAGGCGTGATGGGAATGCAAATTTTTAATGAATGATGATGATTATTATTTTTGTTAATGCTGTTCTTGTTTTTGTTAGAGTGTATTAGTATTCAGACCCAATTTTTAGGCGTTCAACCTCATCTGATCCTAGTTTACCCTTTTTTTAGTACGGTCTGATCTATGCAGGAGCTCAAAAGAATGTTGGGTGTGCTGGTGTGACTGTTGTCATAGGTAAGGCTGTGTGATTTCTTATGTTTGCTATTCAAGGCTTTTATTATTTTATTTTTATTTTTTCATTTTTGTGCCTCTAAATTTTAAGGCACTGCTATCCGCAGCTCTGTAATTATAGCTGTTATTAATTTGCAGCTAGAGAAGATCTGATAAGCAGCCCTTCACCACAATGTCCAGTTGTCTTTGACTACAAGGTACTTTGTTTCCAGCTGTTTTCATTTACCAGCTAGTATATACCCTTTAAGCCCTAAGAGTGATCAGCATCAAATTTCTCCTTGTTATATAAATGCTTTGTAAAACAGAGTGGTCATGAGAATTACGGACATGATCACACAAGATGAATTTGCTTGATATTTTGTCAACTTCTCCCCACTACTTCTGTAGGAAATGAATAAAGGAAACAAAGGAGAACTCAAATTATTTTTCTCTTGGGGTTTAAAGGGTCAAATTTTCCCTATTATCAGCACTGAAGAAGTACTGTTGATTATGAAATTGTTCCACTACAGTCATAGAATGAGGACACAAAGTTATTATTACTTAAGGTTGTGTTTTCTTGACAGGTTCAAGCTGGCATGAACTCGTTGTACAACACACCGCCAACATACAGTATTTACATCATGGGCCTTGTATTCAAGTGGCTTAAAAGGATTGGAGGAATTTCAGGTGCTGTTAGTTTACCCACCTTGCAGACCAAACCAACATGTACACATATGGACCTAGTTTAGTGTCTAGTGGCCGTAGCTCCTGTAGTGTAGTGGTAAAGCATCTGGATTAGTAACCAGAATATCAAAGGTTTTGATTCCTGTTGAGAGTACTGGGATTGTTTGAGCCTCTTGTGTCACTGACTGAAAAAACATCTTTCTTATGACACCCACAAAGTACAGATTTCTCTGTCAGACATCTCTTGGTATATCCCAGAGAGACTTAGTGCACCATGCCCATGGCACAACATTAAGCTGATTTAGCAACAGAACCGGAAAGTTAGTTGATGACGGCGCGTGCAAATCAAACAACTGGCTTGACCAATGGCAGAGCGGCAAATTGAGCACCAGAAGTCGTGTTTAGTCCTTTCCGCATGCTTTCCCTTCATTAACTGATGTTCCCGTCCTGTTGCTAAATCAGCCTATTATTTTGTCTTGGCAGCTGCTCTTGTTTAATTTGGTTGAGCAACACTCAAGAGCAAAAGTTAGATATCAGGGGCTGCCAGAGCATAGTTTTGCACTTTATTCACACTTTGCTTTTAGATTTGTTGCCTGGCAAAACAAAAGAAATAACAAATTACACATATATTTTTAATGCTTCATTAAAGACACACTGGTTGCAATTCAATGTTCACAGCTTGATGTACCGAATTTTTTCAATCTATAGAAATAAACAGAATTAACCAAATGAAGGCCGATCTTCTGTATGATCTAATAGACACTTCAGATGGCTTCTACTGGTAAGAATATTAACAACATCTTTTATGAAATAAAATGAAAACAGAAATCAAAATGAAATGACAACCTTTTCACCATTACACTGCTAAGCAAGGTTTTGTCAAAAAAGGAATTGTCCGTGGCAGAGGAAAAGAGAAAGGTGATTTAAAGAAAAAAGTTTGAACTGAAGATGACAGATATTCCTTTGCAGCAAAAGTTGACAAATTAATGATCCTCACTGTTTAATTATTGTAAGAACTTCGGATTTCTTCAAGAAACTTGAATATTGGCTATAATGTCACTGTTACTCTGCAAATGATAATCAGGTCATAGAAATATAAGAAAATGACGTCTAAAAACAAATTATCTTTATTTGAACAAGCTTCAGACTTCATAAGTGCCATTAGAAATGCCTTATGTCAATGCTAAAAGGTCGTGGTAAATTTTTTCGTGTTTTTTAATTTTGTTATTATTTGTACCCCCTCAGAGCTGCAATTAACTGTTGGTCAATGTCTGACAAAATCCTACCTACAGTCAGTTAGACATGATAACCAGACAGATCAAATACGCAAGACTATCATTTTGTAGCCGATCATGAAGATTTGTGTAGTAATTGTAGAAGTTGAAGGACAAACTAATATTAGCCTGACGACAATGTTTATGATTTGTCCAACTAAAATGGTGACCTGGTTGGGCTTTCTAAAAAGGAAAAGAACTTGAGGGCGTGAGTTTTCAAAGTTTAATTCACCCGTGTTATTGCACCGTATATTCGCAGATGATTATTTATTACTAAATTATTTCTGTGTAGCGGCACAGTGGAGAAAAAGAGCAGATCAAGAATGAATGCTCCTCTAAGAATTTCCAGCCCTGGAGGTGACCAAGAACTAGAGAAGAAATTTGTTGAGGAAGCTGCTGCTCAAAACATGATTCAGCTCAAGGGCCACAGGTCAGTTCAGTTTAGTTCAGGGCAGTTAAAACAAAAATGGAAGTATTCAACAAAATATCATTGTAAAGATCCTTCCAAAAAGACAGAACAATGATAACCCGCAAATAACAACCTAGATTTTTCCAACTTAGCCTAAATAGGTTCTTATAGAAATGGTATTTAGTGGGATTTTAGGCTACTTTGGTTCTTAAATAGGTTGTTAATTTGATAGGGACACTAGCAATCAGCACAGATAACTACTGCAGGGCATATGTGATATGAAATATATTGCTGTATTAAATAATTATCTAGAATACAGTTTAGATGATAAACATAAAGTAAATTTATCTTTCCAAAGTACTAGCATGCATGTGTTTCATGCAGCAGTGTCCATAAAAATTAATGCTGTTACATTTTTTATTCTTAATGACTGAAACCTAGACTAAAAATTTTTTTCTGAATTTTCATCTTTGCCTTCTAAGAACCTATTGAAAATTTTAGGCTAAATAGGTTCCCATGAAAAGGGGATTTAAAATGAAAATTTTAGCCTAACAGGTTCTTAAATTGTAGGTTCTTATACGCAGGTTTTAACTGTATTACAATTCTTACAAATTTACAGGAAATTTTCAAATACTCCTTTTTTCTCTGAAGTCCTTGAATGTTGCATCAATCTGAGTTTTCTTTATTCCAGTCGTGATGTCATCAGTTTAGACACATAAAGGAATTGTTCCTCGTATCCCAAATAAACTGACCAAGGCGAAAATCCCTTTGTCTCGGGATCTAAAGTTCTCAAAAGCAGTTTAAAAAGAGAAAAGTGAAGAAGAAAAGAAAAGGGGAGACAGAAAAGCGGAAATGGTAATTAGCTTTGAGTGGGCTTTGTCAGCAAAAAATCCATGGGCGCATACTGACTGGGCTGAAGCTTGTTACCACCCTCCCCTCCCCCCTCCTCCCTCCCATCACCCCGGTAAAAGAAAATACAGTAATATCGTCAGTTTTTCCAGTTAATCAGGCCATATAAGATAGCACGTCTACGGGTGTTTAAACTTCTTGATACTCGCAGTGTGTCTAATTTCGATAACCCTAAAAGTTACTTATTTCGGTACTCGCTTTAATGTTAAAACCACGAATTGCACGTCTTTCCTAAAAAGCTCCTCTGCCATTTTATTTCAGGTCTGTCGGAGGAATTAGAGTATCGATGTACAATGCGGTGAAACTTGATGATGTGAAGGCCCTTGCAGATTTTATGAGAACCTTCAGACAAAAATATCAAAAGCAGTAACGACCTACAATCATGTCAGCAAAGATCCGTTTTTCCTCATCATCAGAGAATACGTGCTTTGGTGTAGTTCCTTATGGTGAACACGAAATCTGTGGAGCTCTTTCTCTCTCTTTCTTTGAACATCGGCAGAGCACTGTGTGAAATGTGCTCTAGATGATCTTTTCTTGAGTCATTTGTGTGGATGGTCTGGTAGAAAGGATACTGACAGAACACAGTGGCTATGCGACTTAGGAAACACGGCTTTCTAAAGGAATTGCCCAAGAATTAATATTAGCGAATGTCTTTTGGTGATAAAGACATTCATGATTTTTGTACTCGAATTTTCCCAAATATTCCGATCGATATAGCCACATTTACTTTCGCTGGCAAGTTTTCTCGTTAGTGTAGAAAGAAATATTTCCTTTCGTTCTTGCTGGTAAAATTGCCGAAATGTGGTTGTCTATGCATCAACGTGAGCTCAGTAATTAGGAAGCAGAGGTTACATGGACAAAGTTAGAATTAAGGGTACGAATTTCAATGAAAATAGAAACTCATCTTGTTGTGGATGAAGTAGGAGCCTAATTTACATTATTAAACTAACTTATTTAGTTGGGCTTAGTAATACTTGAAACCTGTACAAGATGGTATGTAAACGGCCAAACTTAATTATAAACGGTATGGTTAAAGGATGTCTCGACTGTTTTGTTGTTTTTAATTTGGTCTTAGCCTGTGCTGGGCTCGCGATAAGAGCACTAGATAAGCGACTGCGGAAAAAAGCGCTCCAGCAGTGAAAAAGCGAGCGACTTCCCCGTCCGCTTTCACAAAGACCGTTTCTCGCGTCAAAATATGTAGCCTCCCACGCAGGCGTTTTTAGGGGAGCTCGTCTTTCATCCCTAAAAAGGTCTGTGTGGGAGGCTACAAAATGTGCGGTGTAGGAGTGTATCTCTCCCCAGTACCCGCGCAACGTGCAACTTTTCTCGATGCGCTGCCCTACTATCTTGGAGCGTTGAACAGGCTGCTAATAACGTGGGGATATTTGGGGAGAAATTATGGCGAACAGTAGAGAAAGAGTATCTACCCTGACCATTACAAGAGCTGCAAATGAGTCATCTTCCAATGTAATAACATTTTGGAATGACCCTCGAATGAAGTTTGGTGCGTCAGGTCACTCTTTCTCTATAACAACAGCAACAACTTAATTATAGCAGGAACTTAGAGGAGACGATAAAACAACCCGCAAATGGCTAATAGAGGCGTGTAGGTAGAACACGATATACGGTACCAAATTCAAGAGATTACATGAAGTTACAAGTACATCACCGAAAAAAGAAACATCTGTTGTCGTTTACAGTAAAACCCACGAATAAGAATGGACCCTTTAGGTACACCAGACAAAACAGGTTGCCAAGTAGATGACTGTCCATCAATGACTACCCTGTGCCAGCGATCTGTCAAGTAGCTTCTAATTCCCTCTTACACCAACAGCAAACAGTTAAATGAAACAGAGTCAAATGCCTTGCTGCAATCCAATAATACTGCATCAAGATGATATTTCTCATCCAGTGCTTTAAATTGCCAAAGTCATGTGTGGATATAAGAAGACCGGTAACACACGAGCGCCCCCTTACAAACCATCCAGTAGATGGTAAAGCTTAATTAAGCTGAAAAAAAGGGAAAACACGTGAGAAAATACACTTTTCCAAAACTTTGGAAACAACACTCACTAACGATATTCCTCTGTAGTTATGCACGATTTCTTTTATCATCAGACTTGAAACCTGGAATCAGGTTTGTCACCTTCCACAATTTTGGAAAGCAACTGACCACTACCAAGTGGTTTGTTATAAAAAAGGTACACGACGGAGAGGAAATAGAATTTACACACTCCTTCAATAGACGAGGTGATATCATGTCTGGTCCCCAAGTTTTGCCAACTTTCACTTGTTCCAGAGTTTCTTTTACATCAGCAGGAGAGATTGAGATGTTACTTAGAGCATCGCCATCAAAGTCACTTAAAAGGCAGTCCTCGTGCGACGGTTTACCGTTGTCGATCTTGAATACTGAACTGAAGTAGTTGTTAAAACGCTCAGCCCTTTTCTTTTGTATCATACACTTTAACACCGTTATGTTGAGCAAGGGAGTCTTTTACTCTTATATTTCGATTGGTAATAAGCCCAAAATCGCTTGGGATTCTCAGTGATTGTGGAAGACAGGCTTTTGAAGTATTGTTTCCGTTTCCACTGGAATGCAGCCCAGTGATACTCAATGGACGACTTTTTGGCTTTCTTCCTGAGTCTCTCCTTCTTAGCTTTCTTATAGCATTCAAAACTTCACACAGGACGAAATTTCAAGAATCCGTAAATGGAAACTTAACGTAAACACGTAAAACCGTTGCGGAAACATGACGGTAATCACATGTTTCCGTTAGCGGATACATTACGTTTACCCGTGTTTCCGTCGCTGCGGTTCCGGCGGAATCGTACCACTTTTTTCTACGTTTCCGTCAAATTTCCGTCTAAGCAAACACGTGTTTCCGCAAGAGTAAATGAGTGGCATCCTTGCGGAAACACGCGAAAACGTTCCGGAAACAAGTCAATTTCATGTTTCCGTCAACGTAATCGGATGTAACTATTGCGGAAACACGAGTTTACGAGTCGGAAACTGGTGTTTTCAAGTTATTTCCATCGTGAAAAAAGCGCTTTTCACCATCTTGGGGGAGTTTTCCCGCCATCTATAGTTACAAAAACCCATTCTCTCGACATTTTTATTGCACAAAATAATACCACAGCAATCTTTCCAAGTACTTTCTTTATTCTTCTTGCTTCCTAAACTGACAATCAGGTCTTCTTATGGTATTTATTCATTACATTGGTTAAGTTAAATTACATTTTAAATGTGAGTGCCTATTCACACTAGCAATGAACAGGAATAGTAAGAGGCTTCCTTTAGGAAATCCACTAGAAATTTTCTGTAGGACTACGTACTGTTTTTTTGGCAAAGAAAATGTCAAATCTGTTAACAAATTAATACCCTTTATAGCAGATAGTGATAAACACTTTCATGTGCAGTTTATGGCTAGTGATATGTTTGGCTGTCTATAATAATTATTTCAACAAAGTGGAATATGATTTGTCGGGTGAATGTACATTGTAGTCCTGAGCAGGACTGTTGTTGACAGCGACTAACGTTTAGACAACAAGGTGATCACCATTTTCATGGGCAATGTCAAAACATCAGTTCCTGTCAAAAGTCCCACTAAGTACTATACTAACCTGTATGACCATATACCACTTTCTCATACGACCATTCTGCTTCAGGATAATTTTATAATTATGGTGTCAGGAAATATTCTTACTCTTCCAACATGGTGGTCTAAACTACACAATTTTCTATGACCACTGCAAAGATTGAAATGCAAAAAAATACATCAACAAACAAAGTATGGCTACAGTTTTACATAATACAAGTCTGCTAAAACGGTTTATGTGTTTCATGTGTACGTTTTAGGTCACTTCTATGCTGAAGTCATTACTTAGGGCACTTTCCATTTGTCAAAACTGACCGGCCAGAACATTCCAGTAGTAACGAGAATTTCACTTTTAATCACAACTATCCAACTAGATCAGTCAAATCCTAAATACTAATGTACAAAGGAGATGGTTTTTCAGCAAAAACTCTTTGGAAAAAGCTATTTCATTGTCAAAATGACTGCTCCAGCCATGGTCCGGCCGACCAGTTCTGACTTTTGGAAAGCACTCTCAGTGTCTTTA